CATATATTAGAGATTTAATATGATCATGCCTACCAGGCGGTCCGAGTGTCTCCCAAAAATTGTTTTTGAGTAGGAGTCTATAGACATAATCACATTTTTATTTGTTCAGCGTGTCAATATGTGATTTTGTTTGGGATATGAATATGATTGGGTTACTAGCTTAGTTAGTTTGGCTTAGTTTTTAATATATTAAGGTTAATGTCGGTAACACCTTTGCTCCAAGTTCCAGGTAGTAAATACATGTACATTTTGTATCATGTATTTTTCACTTGTTGAACTTGTAGAAGCACCGTTGGCCCCCGGTTAGGGGTCATCCGGGGAACCTATGCCCAATTTTTTCAAAATTAAGGGTGCTAACAGTAGTTGCACTGCTGTGTCAACTTACCAGTGAATAAACAAGACAAGCTTGAGTTTATTTCAATCTTTCTGTCTTTGACTCTTTGATAGAAGTCTTTGATAAAGAGTTTTCATCATAATTTAGCCAAGTTGCTGGAGTTATGCTGGTGTAACTGCATTCAAACATGCCATGGATTTAGGTCCGGAATCATAAGGTCCGGACCTGAACCTACATGTAAACCTCTGGTTATGAGTCAAGACCTGAACCTGAACATGGGTTAAGGTCCACATCCCTAGTACAAGGTGGATCGGTCATATTGAGAGAGCTCTAGGTGTTAATGGAAGAAGGCCCAGGCAGGACGAGGCAGATGATGAAACCAGCAGTTCTTCCGGCTCAGAGTCAGAGATGTGAAGGTAGCATTTTTGAATAAACGAGGATGGTTGACACCTGTTGTGTTTGCTACTTGATAAACAAACCTATTAATTGATAAAAAGAAAGGATAATGGATATTGGGTAGCAGATTTGAAGAATCCAGTTCCTTTGAAATGGGGCAACCTGAAATCCTGATGGGGCAACCTGGCTTTTGACCCAGGTTGCCGCCCGGGCAACCTGGAAAAAAAAAGTATTTTAACCCCTGTGTGGTTAGCTATAAAGACTGCTTTGTTTTCCATATTTGTCCATTTCCCCTCATAGGAAATGCCTTCTCAATTGCTTTTGAACTCTCATTTTTCTACACAGTGCAGTATGATTTTTATGTATGCAGACACCTAAGCTATTTCTCTAGCCTTCTTGTGACAAAATTGTGGCTTAATTTGCACAGATTTTATTGCCTTTGTCACTCAAAGTCTAAAATAAGCTTGTGCTGCAGCGTAAGTGAATGACTTAAGTATCTGCATGTTTTCCAGAGCGGCGCCGTCTGACTGTGGAGCCTGACTCCATGCGGGACACCCTTCAGGGGTTAGCTGCTGAAAGAGGAACAACAGTAAGTTCATGCTGTCTCTTAACAACTTAAGATAGCGTACAATTCAAAAATGTATTTCAGAATTTAAATACGTGTATGTCATAAAATGTAGTTCACCTTGGGAATTATAGTCTGTAACTTGTAACTGAACTAAGTGTTGTTTGTTTGTTGTTTAGACGTAAACCTCATCTGCCCCATCATGCATGATGAAGTTGTTACTAGTATTTTGTCTGACAATGTTGTTTACAATTTATTATTCTTTTTCTTCCAGGGTGACTTGCTGGAATCTGTCCAAGAAGAGCTGTCATTTTCATTGGGGATGAGTCTTGACCAGTTTGAAAAAGAGTTACAAAGCAAGACACCAGCAAAGCAGGTACAGAAACTAGTTAGATGTCTTCATCATATTGATAATTAATAAATGCTCATCACAAAATCTGTACATCCAATTGATAACATGAAGAAAGAGCATCTTTAAAAACAATTATGTTAGACCTCTTTTTTAGCTGTAGAGGCCTGGTGGGTGTCATTCATGTAAAGTGTTTTTCCAAAGGGCACAACATTAGACATGTTGGGATTGAATCTGGGACCTCTTTGTTCTCAGCCTCATGCAATTCCACATTCAAAGCTGGTTCTGTGTTGATTCCATTGTTGTATTCCATGTTGATTTCTAATTGTCTATTGCTGTCCTTTTTCTTTCAGCTATTGAGTCAGGTTGGTGCCAACAGGAACAGTGAGCCATTTGAGAGACCAACCCGCCTGACCTTGAACTTTGACCGTCAGACAAGTACAGAAGTTGGAATACAGATTGAGGACATTGAGGGAGATGCAGAGGCAGGAGAGGAAACAGGGAACATCATCTACCCTGCCCCCTCACATGACTCCATCATCACACCAGACAGGTCGGACAAAGTCACATTTACTCCTGGTCAATCCAACTGGTCTTAAGATGGCTTATCCTATTGGTTACTTTATTGTGTTCCTTTCTCTAAATTAAAACAAATGTGCTTGGTATTGTTGCAAAGTAATCCGTTTTTCCAGTAACAAGGTATATTGATTACCTTGCCATGAAGCAGTTGCACATGGTTGTTTTACTTAATTAATTCTTCACAGCATTCATTCATTCATAAAATCAAAGATTTGAAGGTATAAATCAATATATTCATTGTTGTGTATTGTGCACAGCACGTTTGTCAGAGATTCCTTGATCATCAGAAATTTTCACACATTTCTCATTCTTGGTTTGCTTGTAGTCCCTTCCTGGTAAAGGAGTACTTCCCCATGGGCATGAAGAAGAAGAAACTTGGCGGTGAAACCCTGAGGAAGGAGCTGGAAGATGCAGGAGCCGACACGGCAGAATCTCAGGAGGAAGGTGACGGTACCAAACCTCTCTCCAAACACAAACTAGCCAGACGTACGTACAGTCTTGCCTGCTGGGGTGTTGTGCAGTGCCACTGTGGTGATGTGGTGAAGTCACAAACTCTCATAACATCTCTTCACACCCATAAAAGAGACACCAGTTGTCTCACGGTAATGACTTCAGTGCAATGCATGACCTTCCATCCTGTATAACAGTGAAACTCTGACTCTGAAAATGGACTATGCTCTCCTGTGGTGAACATTCTCCAGATTTGGTTTGGTTTCTAATCAACTAATCAAGGTCTTCCATAATAACGCCATTGTCACTTCTTTAACGCAATCCATCAAGTCAAATTAATTTGTTGAGTCTGTTGAAAGTTGAACTGCCCCAGTAGCTACTGTAGTTTATAAAGAAATCTATGAAGAAGTCTAACTATACTAATTGCTGGTGTACTTCTTGTTATAGATTCAGGCTCTAATGATCCGGATAGCCTAGAGGAGGATGGAGAAGGGGATGATGAAGAAGAGGAAGAGGAGGAGGATGGTGGTGGTGATAGTCTGGAGAACTCCGAGGCTGAGGAGGACAGAATCAGCAGATCCCTCACTCCATCCAGCTCCTCAGAGAGGCCTGACTCAGAGGCTAGTCCACAAACACCAGAGAAAGAGAGGTTCCTCAAACATAACTATGAGAACTTGGAAGTGTCTGCAGCATTGAGGAATGAGACCTTTGGAAGGAGTTTGGATGAGCTGAAGCAGCCAGCAGCAGCTGAGGCTGATCATTTTCTCAATCCTAGGCTGAGCATTTCTGCCCGCTTCCTGTCACGATCCCAACAAGGCGTGGGCCTGAAAGGGTAAGATTTGTTGACTAAGGGCAATGCCAGTTACTGAAGTTTTATCAGATAATGTGTACCTCTTTCTATTGTTTATCAAGTCATTTTCACATTTATATGAGCACTCGGTATAATTTTGAATTTATATCTTTTATACTTCTTTGTTTTCCCTTATATAATCTCACCCATTTTTGTTTAACTTGAAAAATAAAGATAAAAATCTCCCAGAGTAATGGAAGAGCTATTTATTATCAAGTAGTATTGATTTAAGGAAAGCTTGTCAGGATTGAATTGGCAGCACAGCATAAGTAGTTTTCCTTTGTAATAGGGCTTTAGTAATGCTTTGTACTCTGACTTGACTGCATTCCTTAGATTCCTTCCAATGGCTTCTGTTACTGAGAGTGGAAAAGACATTAATCCAGTGGCCATGACAACCACAATGAAGGATGAAAACCTGCAGAGAAAGAAGGAGGAAATGGCAATCGCTGTAGATCAGACCAGGAAGAGACTGGAAGCTGTAAGTCTCATGGAACTACATGTGTTATTCCAAATTTGCTGCATAATCACTCATTTCTCTGTGTATCACCTTTCGTAGTGTTGAAATTTGATGTAAAGCAATATGAGGATGCTTGGGTGTGGTCATTTTTCATTCTTTTTTTGTTGTCCATGAATTGTATACTAGCATGTCCAACCACTTTGTAACACTATGTTGGATTTGCAAACCCCTATACAGATGGGTTACAAGCTTGAACGAGCTTCCTCAACAGACAGTCTTAATTCTGAACCAACCCGTGACCTGACAATCCCAGTGAAGGACAGTCAGCCCAAACCAGCTGCACCTGAGAGCCGCTCCCGCAGTGAGAGCTCAGGATCTGTGTCCACCAGCAGGAGTACCACACCTTCCAGCACAGCTTCTGGTGCCGGCACAGGTGAGATAGATGATAATAGAATATCCCAATCACATCATATAATATGAAGTTCAACTGTACACAAGCATTATCTTAAAATTGCTCACATGATGGAAATGTATGAAAGTTATGGAGATACTGCAGTACTTTTTTACTCCCTAAACATCAGGCAACCTTAATGAAGACTTGCTTTGTAAGGTTTGAACTTTTGGTTCTTGTTTACAGTATCCAAAGCTAGCAGTGGAGTAGATGTACCTCTGGACATCCCTGAGAAACTGACCAGTTCTCCTCCAACTCCGTCAGCAGACAAGGAGAACCAGGCCTTTCCAGACACCAAGGGTCAAGGGGTCAAGTCTGTTACTAAGGCAACCACCCAGAGGCCAATCAGCAAGAGTATGTCCATGTCAGACCTGGCACAAAAAAGTAAGACTTAGTACTCTTTTTTCACAGATGAATTTGATAATTATACACTTATTTGTCTATGGAAGTTGTGATATCCAAATATTACATGTCTAATATGTCATATAGATTCAATGTTATTTCTGTTATATATGGATATGTCATTGCTTTATGTAGACATCAGTTAATCTCAGCTGAACAGTGGTAGTATTTTGATATGTGATATTGTGCATGGGAAGATAAAATGCCCTGCTTGTTACCATGCTGAGCAAAAAAAGATACGTGAATGCATGCCCATTGTTTGCATCCCTTTTCTTAGGTAAAAGCGACACCAAAGTGGAAGCATGTAATTCAACAGGCACCCATGGCATGACCTTACGTACTAGGGTGAGCCAGTCCCAACCTGGATCACCATCCAAGCCGCGTACCCTACCCCTTCCCCCAGCCAAATCTGAACCAAACCTGGCAGATGCCAAAGACGCTAAAAAGTCCACAAAGGAGAAGCGTAGATCTTCTCTGACAAAGGACAAGGTCAGCAGAAGGTCTTCTGGGTCGGCAATAGTGTCTAAAGCTCGAGGAAGGTCCAGGCGATCAGAGCCACTATCTCCTGCCATCTCACATCCCAACCTGGCGATGGAACAGGGAACAGATAAAGTGGCCAAACCTGTGCGAGGTAGTGTTGTCAGAAGAAACTCTGTGGGTAGTTGTGTGAGTAGAAAAGCAAGTGACAAAGCAGAGTCAGCCAAAGCCCCTAGCGTAAATGTTGTTCCACCAACTCCCACAACAAAATCATCAGATGTTTCTTTGGAAGCAGACAGTAGCAACACTGCTGAAGCTGACAGGCGTGCCATGCCTCCCCCACGTGCTGGATTTGTCTCGGTAAGCAGAGCTAAGTCAGAGGTGAAAAAGCCACAGCACACTGAACCGAAGATCAAATCCAAATCTGACCCCCGACAGAAGTCAACTTTGAAGGAAAAGGCAGCAAAGAGGAAAGTTGTGAATGGTGCTGTGTCTCCACCAGTCAACAAAATGGCAACTCAGTCAAAGACCAAGCCATCAGAACTGGCTGTGACACCTACAGTGCTGTTACAAAGAACTCCTACTGAAACGTTGCAGCCAGTCTCCTCTGATCAAGGACCAACTCTGGCAGTATCATCAGATATAGATGAGATCCCAGAGAGGGATACCAGCCAGCCTATTACATCTCATTCTGACAGTGAAGTCTTAGAAAGCTATGATGCCCGTGCCTCCGAGGGCCCAGAGTGGCTAGATGCATGGAAAAAGTGTAAGAAAACAGAGACTCCAACACAGCCTCTGGCTCTAGATACGCAGCCTCCTGTGGTTGCCAGTTGCATTACTCTGACCAGTCCATCCAGGACAGTGAAACCCAGTCCCCCCATGCCACTGGACATCACAGACATCATTCAGATTAACCTGCCCCCAGCTGACATGGAGCAGGATGGACCTGTAGTGCTACATGGGGTCGGCACTACTTTACAGGAAGGACAAGGACAAGGAGACGGCAAAGATGCGCATGTACAGGTGGCACAGGAGCTGCAGGCCAGACAGAAGGAACCCATTGCTGGACTGAGTGAACCAACTCAACCAACAAAAGTACAGGACCTTGCATTCCTCCCTGTTAAACAGTCAGCTAAAGCTTCTCCGGACGTTCCACAACAGGAGGTGATGAAGCAGACCAAGCAACCGGAGAAAGGTGGTGTATAACAACAAACTCTCCCTCCATCTCTGGCCAGCCTTGGCTTTCTCCTCTTCTGGACACTCCTTCCTCTCAACAAAACCACTTCAGAACAACTTGTAGTCCCTGCCCTTTCACTTGTTGGTGACAGTCATGTTCTTGAACTTCAGACAGCTTCTCTGTTAGCCCTTTCCCCCATGTTGTATTTAAAACATGATCTTTTCCCTATCAGCAGTTTGACTTTGATACTAAAAGTGTAATATCCATTACAATGTTGTGATGTAGCATACATGTAGAAATGTTTTAACGTAGGTATTGTCTTGTCCCCATGTAGATTCCCCTGTCTCCTTGGAGGTGTGTTCCCAAGTTGTGCAGGATCTCCGCAGAACATTCCAAAAAGCAGCTGGTCTTCATGCTAGGGTGAGTGGAAGAAACTATAGTATACATACAGTGCTCACCAACTATTTGCATCACTGACATTGGCATAAACCTGGGATCTGCATAAAATTCTGAAAACCCAAACCATTTCCCATTCACTACATTATAAATTGCATGGCATAATTGCATGAGCTGTTATGACTTTAACCTGATATTGGACTAAAATATTTCCAAGTCAGCAAATCCGCATGAAGTCCATTGTTATTCATTCATTATCACCCCTGCACCCTCCATTGTCATACACTTTCTCTGTTGTCACTTCCTTCTGGACAGGTGAGAACCCCCAATCACTCAATGATGATTGTGTGAAGAAGTCCTTTGTTCCTTTTTGGTGTCCTTGATTGGGCTGTTGTTTTAGGTTTGGTAAGCTTTTGCCAAACACAGGGGTAGACAGTATGAAGGTGGAATGTGTCTGATCTTCTATCTCCATGTTAGCCCTGTTCATTATGACTTGAAGATTAGAATATGGTACATGTATGTAGTTGTGGGTGAAAGTGAGTATATAAATACCAATAACATCATATTTGTGGTTGTTTCAATTCGCCCCAGCCCAGTATCATCCATAACCAACTGACCTCCCCTCCCTGTCAGTCGTGTGGACTCTCCTAAGGTTATTGGACTAAACCTGTTATAGGAATAAAATTCCCTGACAAATCGTCCATGCAAATAACAGGAGAGCACTGGGTGTATTCTGACTTGGACAATTTGGTGCCTTTACATGTACAATGTAGGTATGGCTGACACTGTCTCAGAAAGTGGTTGTCCAGAACATGGATCAAGTTCTCTGAGTCCAAAACACTAAAATTGGGTTGTATACTCTTCAAGTGAGCAAGATATTTTAGGTTTTCTGTACTAATCATTCTGGTTTCTAATTTTCACAGGCTCTGCAGAGTGAGGTCCAACAGAAAGATGAGGTTCTGTCCATGCTGTCAGCAACCTTCTCTTCCATGCAGAACCAGCTTACAGCAATCAACCAACAGAGTGCTTCCACTGGTAGCCACTCCTTCTCACCAGCATCAGTCCAGTCGCTGTCTCAGAGCATTGCAAGGACCCGCCAGGGCTCTGTCTCTGATGTGCTGGAGGAGGATGACACAGACACGTCCTGTGCTCTGTCCCTTCTGGAGAGATACTCAGAAATGATGGTCAGCATGGTGCAGCAGAAGCTGTCCCACAATGGTGTGCAGCTTTCACAGCATACAAACAAACCCAGTGGAACCTGAAGTAAAAAATTGTGCAGTTTTAACAGCATGCTCACAAAAAAATTGAAACACTCTAAAAAAAGTGTCTGTGTGGCGCATAAAGAGTACATGTAGTAGAAAAATGCTTCTCTTTTAACCAAGTGAGCTTTCTTGTTGCATACTAAAAATGAATACACATTAAGTACAACACATTGCAAAGTTCAAATGAAGCTCTGGGTTTTTGAATGCTGCAATGAAACTAAGTAGCAATATTTATGATACTAGGAATACATATTTTGGAACTGTCTTGTGAAGTTATGATGAATGATATTTTGAAATGACACCCAGGAGATGCTTGCAGCTAGTTAATACTGATTTAGTTAGATAGATACATAGACTCGTCAAGCTGATGTGCATAAGTACAGTAAGCCTTTATGGTATTTGATGCCATTATGCTTTTTGTGTAACAGTACCTGATTTATTTGAGAGGTAAGACCTCATGCATGGCATTTGCTGAAGACTTTGGAATTCACTTCTACGCACTTATTCGCACTGGAAAGGTGAAAAAGTTAAGTAATCAGAGGAATCAGATATGTAGAATAGTGACTAAAGAAGAGAAAGTGCCTTATACTTCCAAGAGCCTGTGGCTTTGGCAGTTCTACCCCATCAGTCATCCATTCTGTTAGGTATGCGTCAAGTGCAGATAACTAGTTTGTAAATATAGTGATGCATGCATTGCCTATCTGTCAGGAGTAAAGATATACCAACTACTCTGTAACTTCTCAAGCTCAAACCTGTTCAACCTCATATCAGCACAACACTGTCCTGTTGTATTCCGTTTTGCAGAAACTTCCAGATGTCCCAACAAGAAGTGCATGTCAGCTTGTTAATGATAGCACATTAGTTACAGACCTTTTGGCATGCAGCAGTGGCCAAACACTGTCTAAAGGACAACTATATATGATGCTGATTCATGTCTAAGAACTAAGTAGAAACAACTAGCAAATGATTCAGATGTGTACACATCTATAAGAGAAGTTACCATACAATTCCATACACTCAAGGTAAGAACACTTAGGTAGCACATTATATCTGCGCTTTGTCAAGAAGTACTGTCTAGTCAACTGGGTCATAGGTATGGAAAGTTACAATGTAAATGCATATGCCAAGAGTATGGATTGATGCTGTAAATAATATAGCCCTTATATTCATTCTAACTATGGCTTCCATACATGGCAAAAAAAATGTACAGTACTAGCTATAGTAGATGCAACAGATTACCTGACATGTGATCAATAATCTGTGAATGTGTCATAGATTGTATTTGCTAAACCTGTTGGTGTATCAAGATTTGTGTTCCAGTGTGTGAATAGGAAAAGTGGAGATTTTGTTTATGATAATTATTATTCAGTTCATTGTTCACATTTGTCACTTGTGTGATTCTCAGGGGCAAGTTGCAAATAGAAAGCAAGACTGTTCGAAAAATGCCATTGTCAGTCAACAACTGCTAGCAGCTTCTTTGAACAGAAGGGACAGGGCTCAGATGTAGGGTTGGCCCATCAACGTATTTTTGTCTTTAGAGAAAGCCCTGTGCTTTCTTTATTATTTCCATTTATTTCACGTGTTCAGCCTCCACCCCAGGTCACCTTAACACACTATCCTCACCTTTATCACATACTAATGATACTTTAGGGTAAACTTTCCTGGTCAAGAAATGAATTATTTCAGTACCATCTACATCTAGTGTGTTACTATACAAATACCAGCTCAAACATATTGTGCCAAATGAAAGAACTTCCACTCAAGGGTTTTTCCCTGAGCAGCTTTTACAGTTTTGTCTCCATGGGACCTCTATCAATGCACCCCATCTATCCTGTCTTCTGTTCTTGGTTTTGTTGGACCAATTGTTTTTCATTTTGTGTTTAATTTATTTTTCTATTTTCTCATGACCAAAGTTGTTGCCCTGTATTATAGTGACCTTTGGGGCAGATGTACAGAGGACAGATATGAGAGATTGTGTTTTTTCTTTGATGATTAGATTTGAAAATAAAGAATGAAACTGCAAAATTGTGTATGGTGTCAATGGACTGCAACACCACTGATCAAGCAAGCTTTTCAGTTGTCATTGTAAACTTGAATACCCATAATTGGAAACTATGATACAGTTTGAGTACATGTACCTTGTAGTGTTTAGACTATCAGTGGACACACCATTTCTTCCCAAATACATGGCAGACCCAGCATTTGGCACAGGTCATCACCAATAAGGCTATCCTTGCTATCATTAATGTTGAAAGAGTCAGCCAGAATTTTCATTTCAATATAGAAATGAAACATTATTAATGATTATGTGGTGCTATTATAAGAGCTTCAAGTGAATATGAGCACCATGAAGATAAAGAGTACTTTAGATAAGATACAACTTTAGTACTGGAAAAAACCAAGTACTAGTAGTATGAATATCTTCTCTTAAAGAAATGAGAAAATACCTTATGCAAACACCCATTCTTTATTCCTAGCTGAGTTGGTATAAATCCATTCCACAAACCCATTCCACAGAAAAAGCATTCTGCTCTAAAAAATGTTAACTTTGACAATACAGAACTTCCACTTCATTTTAATCAAAATACTAGTGCTTTTCCAAAAGAAATAACAGTGAACTTAAGCTATTTATACCACCTGAATTTCCAATCCACATGTAATTTACTTGTTCAAATGTTGAAAATCTATAATAACTTTGTGATGACTTTTATTTTAAGGCAGCATATACTACCCCTTTATATAATTCTGTCACGCTTTGAATCTGACCAATGGGAGAGCTGCTGGTGATTTAATCAGGCTACAGTACATATACAACTAAATGCACTGTATATTTAGAAGTGGACACATAATATACCAATCAGCAGCAATACAAGATGATAGGCAGCAAAGACACAAGGCACATTCTTTATGTCCTTTTGCATGACTGCAGGTTAAGCTCCAGCACATCAGTGTACTGAAACACTATTCATAGGAGGACAATGAATATCATACAGTGGTTTACAATTGTGTGATATATTACAATGTGATACCGGTATATTACAAAGGCACTAAATGACAAATGATAAGAGCTTAGAGATTAATCAATTAATAAAGTATCCAAGTACTAAGAATCCATTGCATAAATCACCATGAACTTTAAAATTTGTAGTTCCTGATATGACCATATAAATTTAATTCTATGGATGGTAATTGCAAGCACACGTATTTTAAACTTCCTTCAAAACAAAATACTCCTTTCAACAGGTAGTCAACAGATACATGGTACATGACAAATTGCCCTACATTAAGTAGTGGCAGTCAGCCCTTCATAAAACTACCTAAAACTCATATTCACATAAGTTGTAAAATGTCCCAGGTACCTGTTGCTAGCACATGATATGGAGTGTCAAAAGGACCTGATCCATAGAAGTTTAATTTGTATGGCCTTACAATATTTTTCAATTCTATAATACACAGCAGGACAGCTCTCGGGACAATGGCAGGCAATCTTTGCCACATGCACCAGGTTTGGCCATTGTTAAAAAGGAAGCAGCAGTCAATTTGGTTTGCATACTCCAATCAGTGGGATGTAACCTACACATGTACAATGTATGTCTCCCAACTACTAGTAAACAGGTAGAGACTCAGCTGAGCAAGAAGGGTATGAACCAAGCTGCACAAATCTGTATGGCCAGTGTCCCAGTGTCAAGCAAATCATTCACCTTTAACACCTTCATCATCTGTCAACATCTGACAAAACAATGCTTGTCAGTCTAAACATTTTCTTCTATTCCAGTAGCTTTCACTAAGCATAGATCGTATATTGACATGCTTGTAACACTTTTATCATATTCTTCTCAGAGGCTATGGGTGGTAATCAACAAAAATGACTAATGAAACTCAATATATATATATATATAATATGTCAATGCATGTCCCATCAAAAGTACCTACTGGTTGGTCCTTGTAACATAGTAGCATAAGGCAGCTGTGGTCTTGTACATAAATCTCTTCTTGTTGATGTAGTAAGTGGAGTGTAAGGCATATCAAAAATTCAGCTTTTCGTTGACCCTTTTGCTATATTATAAAGATGAAAAAATCATAATTTAATATAAAAAAAAACATTTCCATGATCACGTCCGTAATGCACATCTCAGGGTTTACATTTCACATATTCATATCTTAATTCTTTTGAAGTCAGAGAGAGTGACTAGTCTAAATGACAATGTAGTAAATGCAATGGAATGGTTTACATGAGTCAATGACAAATGGCAGTAAGAAATTTGTGGAATTCTATATGTAGCTGCCCTGACCATGGGAAGTATCAAATTGTCTCTTCCAACGTTCAACACTTGCAAAATATTAAAAGTAGGCAAAGCTCCATGTCATAAAGCAACAGCACTGAAACGCACACACACACACACATAAATATACCAAAGAAAAAAGTTAGGCAGCATCAGTTGGATCATACTGCTGCTGACATTTTGACCATTAGATCCATGTTATTTATAAATATCCTTCCCAATTAAATGATAGTGTGATGAAAGAACAATTGTGATATAATATTAATCCAAATTCTTAAAAAGGTTGTGAAATTTTGTCATAACTGTATATAAAAATTCACTGTTTTCTCCCACAATAATATATGCAACTGTTATTAACTTTAAACCCCCCTTTGAGCTGAATTGAATGCATTTTGAGTTCAAACAGCAAAAACTCACTGGTAACTTGCTGAACTACTGTTGCTATAACTTGAATACTATGGGATATGTACGGATAAAATCTATTTCAACACCTCTATAAATCATACATTCATCTTTACTTGTGCAAACTGATAGACATGTTAGGATGAATTTATGGGATACCGTAGTCAAGTACAATCATGAACGACCTGATAATAGCAAAAAAAATTTCCTTACAAACATGAAAAGGCAATCTTTGATTTGTACATGGTGTACATAGGTAGGTAAGGTAAAGGTAGCCTTTTTGAGGCTGTAGGCGCAGTGGGTTGATA